AATAAAAATTTGGCAGATCCCACGTACCTAGGAATCCACGTTATGCGAGGCGTGCGGAAGAAAGGTGACCATGTCGCAATTTTTCTACTGAGCAACAGGTCATAAAATTACGCTGAAAAATGTACAAACGTCACACACACAGACATATATTGAAGAGTTGCAGATGTTTATATAACCAGTTGTTTGCACTTGCGCAATAATGCCAACTGGAATATGTGGATTAGCAACACCAGAAGCTGATATGAATGAATTGATATGTAGGGTTAACGCCCTAAAACCACCGTATGATTATTAGAGCCGCCTTAAGGAAGGGCTCGGGAAATTTCGATCACCTGAGGTTCTTTAACGTGCACCCAAATCTGAGCACACGGGCCTACAGCATTTCCGCCTCCAAGAAGCTGATATGAAGCGATGGTGCTCGAGAAGATACTTGCCCAGGACACTGCTACATAAACCAACTGCAGCGCATGGCAACAAACCATATCTGATGTTAACCCGACGTGACGGCTGTCTCAAAATAGTACATATGTAATGTTGATAAAATTGGCTAGGCAGCACTGAAACCACAATTAACGTTTTACAAAGATAAGCGTCTATTTGAAAAGTAGTTCCGAAACCTGGCGTAGTTTGAAATTTGTAGTCGACTGGCACACAGAATGCCTGGGTTCGATTCCAGCTGGGACTGGTCGGGTCCACGCTACCAACGTCGGGTATTTCTTAACACTCGCACGTTAAAATCGCCCATGTGTGTTCTCGTCGTTCCTGAGCAGATACCAAGTGTCCATCGCCTGTGGCACATACCTGCATACCAGCGGTACATACCCGCCCGTGGGTATGTGGCACTGTCTGGCGGGAAGCGTTTGAAGACGTACGCAAAGGGATTGTGACATTATTCATTTCCTGACAATGAAGCGCGTCGTATTCGTCAAACCATCTTAGCCTCTCATGGTAATTTTGGTTCACGCCAAATAAATGGGGTGACCATGATAAATATACGCTGTAAAATATACGCTAACAGATGACCAAGAAAAAACTTGAAGAAAAAACAATCCAGCGCCGAGAGTCGAACCAACGGCCCTTCGCGCCTGAACGCGTGGCGCGAAGCCACTAGGTAACATAGAACACGTTCTGCCGCGTTTATTGGCGAGTTATTTGCATGCACTATTTAATGTTGGCAGTATTCCGAGTTCGTTGGCTTCAACGTCTTTCCATCATCATCAGTGAGATGGCACGATAGGCTCGGAGAGCGTAGGGCTACTGTGTATGCTACCTAAAGGTAGTATATTAGCATATAGTAGCATATAGAGTAACTTTAGATAGGCGCACTTTGAAAAATTGGGAGATCTCACGTACAGTGGGAATCGATGATATGCGAAGCATGAATGAGAAATATTGATATGTCACTTTGAAATCAGCACGACGTCACGAGGTGGAGGTAAATGATGCCGTACATGACTTCCGTGTCATGATTATCATGTTTGGATGTGTCGTTTACCTTCGTCATCTATTCACGGGACGTGATACCGAATTTAGTATAGTTGGAGCTAGCAAAACGGACACGAGCACGCTATGAGCGTGGTATGTCGTCATGTTTCTACATGACACGCGTGTCAGGATTATCATGTTTGCACCAGTCATATATTTCGTCATTCATTGACGTCATGTAACACCAAATTTGGCATATGTGGAGCTAGCAAAACGGCCGCAAGCGCACCATGAATGAGCCAAGACCCAATATACTCCAATGTAGCGTTGACGAACGTGCACGATGGGCACAGCGACGCTTCCATTAGCAAAACGTGAGCACTTAAGGTCTGAAGCCAGGCGTGACCAGCGTCCGTAGGCGCGGCCCGCCCAATGGCAACCACCGCCATATGCAACATGCTGCATTTCACGCTAATGCGTTACCCAGACAACACTGCGTCTCCCTCTTTTCGTGACGGAGGTGTGCTGGACGCGCTAAAACGCGCATGCTTCAAAGCAACGCAGCGCGGCGCGTGCCTGCGAGTATATGGCAGGACCGCTGCCTGGCAAGGCAACACCGGCCTGACGCGAAAAATGAACGCCGGCGAGCACGCGCGCCGCGTCATGTCGAAATGTATTGATGTCTTGACTATGGCATGTAGTCATAATCTCACATGACGCGCATTTCATGATTATTATGTTTGCAACAATCACATACCTTCGTCATCCATTGGCGTCGCATATTATCGAGATCGGTACATGTTAAGCTAGTGAAACGGCCGCGAGCGCATCATGAGCGTAGCATGTAGTCATGTTGTTACATGACACGCATCTGATGTTTATCAAGTTTGCAGCAGTATCATACTCTCATCATCCATTCACGTCCCGTAATACCAAATTTCGTATAAGTGAAGCTAGCGAAACAGCCGCCAGCGCATCATGAGCGTGGCATGTAGTCATGATGTTACTGGCAAGCATCTCATGATTATCATCTTTGCCCCAGTCACATGCCTTCATCATCCATTCACATACCGTAATACCAAATTTGGTATACGTGACGCTAGCAAAACGGCAGTGAGCGCATTATGAGCGTGGAACGTAGTCATGTTGTTACATGGCATGCATGTCATGCTTTTTATGTTGTAACCAATCAAGTATGTTTTAATACAGTCATGATATACCATACCAAGTTTGGTATCGATACCATTATCGAAATGGGCAGAATAGCTGAAAGTAGTAGGTGGATAAGTACATAGATAGATAGATAGATAGATAGATAGATAGAAAGATAGATAGATAGATAGATAGATAGATAGATAGATAGATAGATAGATAGATAGATAGATAGATAGATACGCTCAAAGTCGCCGAACTTCGCTAAGAAATGCTTCACATATAAACTGTGGAAGATGTTTTCTGGACCCGCGCGACGGCCACACGTGCGCACTTTTCTCGCCATAGCAGTAGTTGGTACCTCTCTGCTCACACTGCAAGGTTGACAGAGCACGAAGGTCACTTCACTTACTGCAACGCCCGCTTTTAATAAAGAGGGTGCCACTGACATAAAGAAGTTTCAAAGATTAGTGTTGTTAGTTCGCACTCGTCCTGAGCGCTCGCTTTGTGCGTTATCCTTTGCGTTTCAGCAGTGCGCTTTCAGTGCCGAGCTATAACAATTGTTGGTTCACGCTCATATTGTGCATGTTCTTTCCGTGCGTTCTTTCTTACGGAACATAACGTTGGATGGTTAGGGCTGCTTGCCATTTTTCGCGTTACATTACAATTTGCTGCTTAGCAATCATACCTTCACATTTGTGGCGAGACAATGCACTATAAACGCTCAGCTACTTCTGTGAAAGCATATTTCACGTGCATGTTATAGCGTTTTCATGTGACAGAAGGATCAGACATATTGTTTTTTCTTTTGCAAAAGTCTGCCCATGGGGCACGTAGTTCAAAAACCTAAAATCAAACAAACCTCTTCTAACCATGATGGTCCCACAGCTTTGAGAGAGCTTCGCGATTCTGGGAACATTCCTCCTGCATTGTGTACTGCAGAAATACTATTCTTGTTGAGCAATGAACGTCTTCATAAATCACGCAATTGTTTTAAGGTGGAATAAAACCAACCTTTATACAAAGCCTTCATGAATAACGAGAAAAAATATATTCGGTCGATATATCAGCATTCATGCAGGCACTGCAAAATCAGGGTATCGACGAAGCCTATACAAACTTACTGGAAGAAATCTACAACAGATCCACATTATTATAGTACTCCATAAATGAAAGAAAAAAAACGGCGATAAAAAGAGGCGTAGTGCCGGGAAACACGATCTCTCTAATGGAATTCGCCGAGTGTTTACTGCAGGTTTTCAGGGCCCTAGAGTGCGAAGAGTTAGAAATAATAGTTACTGGAGAGTATGTAAGTGACTTGTGATGCGCTGATGACTTTGATTAGTAACTCAGGGGACAAATTACAGCTCATGATTACTGAACTTGATACGGAAAGCAGAATAAATAATGTGCATAAAACTAATGTATTGAGCCACAGTCTCGGCAGACAACAGTGATTTGCGATAGGTGGCGAGACACTGGACGTTGTAAAAATATTATGCTTGGTTAGGACTGCTAGTAATCGTGGAACCGAAAAATGAGTGTGAAATATCTAGAAGTATTTGAGTGAGATTAAGCCCATTCGGTGAGCGTCCTCAAATCATGAATGGTGGTCTTCCACTGTTTCTTAAAAGAAGATATATAACAGGTGCATCTTACCAGTGCTTACATGCTTAGCAAAAGCCTCGAGGCTTACAAAAAGGATTCAACTGGAATTTAGGACGATGCAGTGATTGATGGAAAGGAAATAATAGGTGTGACCTGAAGAGACAACAAGACAGCAGAGTGGGACTAGGAACATACCTATGTTAAGTACATCATAGTTGAAATCAATAAGAAGAAATGGGCATTGACCGGGCTCGTTGCACGTAGGCAGAATAACCCTTGGTCACCAAGGGTAACTGACTGATTCCCAGAGAAGGCGAACGTGTGACCAAAAAAGGGAGACCAAAAATAAAGTGGGCAGATTAGACTAAGAGCTTCAATATGATAATGCTCTTTCGACAAGTTTGCTGATATAACGTGGCCGTAAAAAGCACAGGTCCAGGTTCGTAGGCGGAGCATGGGAGGGGCCTTTGGCCTCCAGTGGGCTTAGTTAGGATGATAATTATGAAAATGGTGCTATAATGGTTTTATGTCTGAGGACTGTATAATGGCAAATTTCCTTATCAGATGCACGTAATCTAACAAAAACGAGGGAAGTGCATTCGCCAGTAGATGGTTTCTCCACGTTGTGCACTACAAGCCGCGAAGCCATACTTGTATCTTGCGATTCTAGATCACAATATCACTTGCCAGTGTCCGGGAATAAACTTAGAGTGGTAAGATATGGTCATATAAAACTTTCTGCGCACTGTAACCATAAGTCTTCTTTTGACTACACCGTGGAAGTCCTTAACGACGTATCATTTTCATCAATGCAGGTTACAGCTTGATATCAAAGAATCGTGGTGGACCGGGGAGTGGTATGGTAAGAAACAACTAAAACTGTCTGTCTTTACTTATTTGATCTTCACGGGGATCAGCAACCATTTCAGTTGGAGGGCTGAGTTGCTTGAAGCCGACTTGACGAGAGCTGCAGGACAGAGCGGAGTGGGGAGGGGTGGCGTTGCAGTAAATTGCCTAAAATTTCGGCAAATAGAGAAGAAAGTAAAAAAGTGCCATTAAAATATTTAATTGACGTTCACTTTCGACACAAATGTCACAAAGTCGCAATTTACAAACAGAAGTTACAAGTTGAAAGCCATTTAATGTCAAAACGCAAATGTTTGCCTTGATATTAGAGGTTGCAGTTCGGACGTCCTTCTTAGGGCCGCATTGTATACCACCTTAACAGTTGCACGCAGCCGGGCTGCGACTCGCAGGTTGCCGACACCTTCGTAAGGGATTGTAGTAATCCCTATGTCACTTACATGGTAGCCGGCTGGTCTGTAATCTGGCTCACGTCGCAGTCATTCCGTTTTCCTTTTTTTCCCCCATCTCGTATTCTCAGGTTCTCTGTATGTATGCGCTATGTATGTGCTACGTTCGAGTGCAGCGTACGAGTGCTGTCTATGTGTGCTGCATTTAGTTTTCGTTTCGTTGCGGCATGCTGTTGCACGCTCAGTATATACCAGTTTGCCCGCCAGCATTGTTTTTGCAAAAGTTTGCTGGAGACTCAGGTCACGTGTTTAACTAGTCTGATCAAGAATATGTGTAATTTGAGACTAGTTGCTTGAACATATTCAAAACATAAAAGAACAGCAGAAACAGCAAAATAAGAGTAGTTGTGCAGCTCTATGTGTCCTCTTAGAGAAAAGCCACCTTTTCGACACAGTTATCTTAGTCGCAAGCACGACCGGCATTGACGGGAATAAGTAGGCAAACGTGGCACTGTTGGTAACCCACCATTTCCAAGCACTGACAAGCAGAAAGGCAAAACAGCGTGTACGGCTGATAAAAAAAATCTTTCATTGGGAGAAAGCAAAATGGTTTAGGAGCTAGTTGGATGGGTCTCCATGTCCAAGGCTCCACTGAATTGTGCCGCCAGCTGGATGTTGTCTAGAAGCTCTACTTGCACGTCCAGGTCCGAGCTAGAGAAATGTTTCTCTCATTGCTCTATCAAAGTTTCTATTCTATACCTACGCTTTAAGCTAAGGAGTTCATTTGTCCTTCAAACGCAACCACACGAAATATGGTACAGCGTCGCTGGCGAGCAGTGATGCGACAGAGAAATCGCTCCTAGACATTGTTGGGAAAAATTTTTGCGATCCCAATACAATTGCACAGACCCCCGTTTGAATTCCACGGATGTCTATGGTGCCTCCTGCTGTTAAGAGATCTAACTGGGTCTCCAGATTTCTGCCAAGCTTATCACCCACGAGCAAGAAGCTCTCACGTAGCCAGCTGAGATAGGGTACAATTTCACTCCTCGTGAAAGGCATCGTGCGTACGCTGTGGTAGTCGTAACAAAGAGAGATGCTGGTGCTGCACTTGTTTACGCAAGCTCAACAAGTTCGAGAAAGAGATAGTAGACTCTATTATCAGAGGGGCTAACAAGGCGGCATTAGGCTTGCCGATAGGCACTTCGACAAACGGGCTTCTCGAGAATGGCGTGCATAACGCATACACCGAGCTGAAGACAGCCACATTAATTTCTCAGAGGAACCATCTCAGCCAGACAAAGTCATAATAATAACATTGTTGGGTTTAGCGTCCCAAAACCACCATATGATCATGAGAGACGCTGTAGTGGATCCCTTCGGAAATTCGCACTACCTGAAGTTCTTTAACGTGTAACTAAGTCTAAGCACACGGCTCTCAAGCATTTTCGGCTCAATAGTAATGCTGCCGTCGTGGCGGGGACTTTACTCCGAAATCTGCAGTTCAGCCGCCAAATGCCTTAGCTGCGGCGGGTACAGCCAAACGAAGATAGTAATGGAGGTCTTGATAAGGGCGGATATTCTTCTACACCTCAAACTTGGACAAGTGTCTGGTGGACATACCAAGACCAGTTCGAAGGCATATTTCGATCACCACTAACCCCAGGAACATGACCAGGGAAAGACATCACAAAAGGTGAGAGAAGCAAAAAAACGGCCCAAAAAAGCTAAAGGCACTTAGAACGTGCTCTAAGAGAGAGAGAGAGAGATATATATATAAATAGAGAGGAAAGGCAGGGAGGTTAACTAAGCTTGGCTCGGTTGGCTACCCTACACTTGGGGTGGGGGAAAAGGAGAATAATAGAATGGAAAGAGACAGAAAAGAAGAGGAGTAAGAAAGAGAAGCATAAAATAGTCAGCTTGAGACTACACAGCACGGCCTCACACAGCTCTTTCACAAGCGGTCGCGAAGTTTGGTGGTCCTTAAAAAGTACAAGAGGGCTTTCGTGGCTTTGCGCGTATGGGAAGCCGTCGGCCAAGGTCCCAGGATCTTCTCTTCTGTAATCGGCAGTGAATCCAGCTGACAGAGCTTGGCTTCCATAATACGTCGTTTGGTCTGGTATGCTGGGCAATGACATAGAATGTGCTCAAGCGTTTCCTCGCAGGCGGAGATGTTGCATGCCGAAGTGCTCGCCATTCCAAGGAGACGAGAGTAGGAATTCGTAAATGCCACGCCCAACCTCATGCGACACAGTAAAGTGCTCTAAGTTGACGCTTACATATATAATTCATGATAAGTATGATCATTAATTATATGTATAGCTTCATGATAAGTATGATATCCATGATAAGTATGATCTTTCATGACATTTAGCTTCATGATAAGTATGATCTCCATTGCATCAATGTATACGTCTTCAATCGGCTAAGGTTGAGTGTTTCTACATCGCATTAGTGATTAAGTTTGTTGCCGACACATACAGAGCTTGATGTCCACAAATTACTGGCTTTTAGATGTGTGGAAATCTTTTAGGGGTCAGGCTATCGTATTCTCTCATAGGCTGTCGTCTTCGCTAGAAGTAAAGCAGGCAAAACCCTACACAGGGTGTTTCTGTTAAAAAGCACCAAGCAATAAAAAATTGAAAATGAGTGCAACGCGTCAAGCTAGAGCAGTATTGTTCTTAGCTGTATTTTGTGATCCGCCAAACACGGTAATTAACAAATATCGCTTAATGAACTTTTAAAATATTGTCTTCATCTTAAACTCAAAAGCAGCCTTTTTAGTAGCTCGTTTGAATAGTGACTAAAGTATATATTGCTCTTGTTTACTAAACGTTGGACCTCCTAGACCCCAGTTTTATACTTTGGACACTCTGTCCAAATGACCTCGCCAAAGTGCCTGCATGCATGAGCGTCAGCAGAGGGTACAAAAAGGGCACTTCACCCCTCAAGCAGCCAGAGCATTAGTCCACCACCCAAGGTACTTCCGTAATTTTTTCCACTCAGTGAAGATGCAATACTTCTTTGCACCCCAACACAACATCCTGCCGACGCTGATGCCCAGATGGCAGATCTAGCTTTTGGATCAAGCTCTCCATGAGTACACCGACAACGGAAGCTGTGAGCAATTCATATCTTAATGACTACAGACATAGGCGTGCGCAATGAGGACGGGAGCGGGGGCAGGAATACTCCGCTAGTCACATGAAAAAGATGGATGCGAAGTGTCGGCCGTCTACGTTGATATATCAGGGAGAAGGGTGCTGCGTTTTAGGAGGGGGGGGGGCTCTTGAAATCAGCCCCTTACGCTGGCATAATAAGGAGAGGGTGCTGCGATTAACAGTCGCCCCTCCCCCGCTCCTGCAGGGGAACCCTGCGCATGTTTCACTTCAGAAAACACTTGCTCCGCGACCACTCAACAAGCATAGGTAGTCAAATGGTCATACAATGGGCAACGTGCCTCTCCCCCACTCTACGCATGCTCCCCCTCCATCATAATCTTCTATCCACCCTACCATGAAAAAACGTGCTAGAGAAGAGCTTTTATTATTAGTGGCTGTGCATCGCTGTTTTCTATTTGTATGTTTTTTCGTAACCCTATGCCAAACAGGCACTTCCCGTTATATTGCGTTTCGGCTCGGAGAGCTTATAACCTCGCGTACAAGTTTACAAACGCGCATTTTCGAAAAAAAAGTATAAAGTTAGCGCTCGTTTTTGCGATTTTCTCGTCTTAATTGTGCACGCCGTACGATAGCTTTGGATCGAATACTTACTAATCACTACTTGAACCTTTTAGCAAGCGCCCGTGTGGGCAGACCAGGGATTGCTAGTATCAAAAAAAAATTTCTGGCTACTTATTTGGTACAAATAATGCACGCAAAACATTAGTCTTATTTTTCGTTTCCCCTCCTTAGTTGAGGATATACAAAGAATTAGAAAACAGCACCTGATGCAAGTTGTAATCAACATTATCATCAGCCTGACTATGCTAACTGCAGAATAAAGGCTCCTCCAATGTTCCACCAGTCAACTCGTTCCTGTGCTGGCTGCTGCCACTTTATGCCCGATAACTTCCTAATGTCATATTTCCACCTAACTTTCTGTGTCTCCCTCACGCGCTTGTCTTCTCTGGGAATCAAATCTGTTTTTCTTAATGACTAGCGATTATCCTTCCTACGCACTACGTGCCCGGTCCATGTCCATTTTTTGTCTTTGATTTCAACTATGATATCCTTAACCCCGGTTTTTTCCCTGACCCACTCTGTTCTCTTGTCTCTCAAGGTTACCTCTATAATTTTCCTTTCCATCGCTCACTGTTTCATCCTCAATTCATGCTGAGCACTCTTTGTAAGCCTGCAGTCGTCTGCTCTGTAGGTAACTACCAGCAGGGTGCATCTGTTATACACTTTCCTCTTGAACGATAGTGGTGATCTACCGGTTATGATTTCAGAATGCTTGCCCGATGGTTTCAACCCCATTCTCATTCTTCTAGGTATTTCAATCTTATTGTTCGGATGTGCAGTTACTACCTGTTTTAAGGAAACCTACTTTTTTACGACTCAAAGAGCACTGTGACCACTACGCTGCTTGAAGTGGTGGTAATCGAATTACATTTTTTAAGTTGACCAACTTGCAATACGCACACCCGTTTGAAGTGAAGACAAGAGTGTTTGAGCATGTGTTATCCTTCATTGAGATGATAACCGTAGTGTCATCCTTTGAGCTTCCCCATGACTTAGAGCCAGAGTTCCCTCTCTGCCACTTTATAGGAAAGTTTTAAACCTCCAAGATACGGGACGCGAGCCACATGAGTGCTCATGGGTTCAACGAGCAACGCACGCTGGCAAATAACTGCAGAATACAAGTCTTCAGTGGTATTCATAAGGACTGTAACTTTTTTTAACATAACAGTTGTCACGTAGCTATATTTTCGCAGGACTGTCTTATCGTCGATCCATCTGTTTTGGAAACTCTACTGTGGGAATCATTCATGACGATGGGGCCAATTTCAACGGCGTACGACAGACAGCACTTCAAATAGCCCTTATGTGAGTAAACAAGATACATGAAACAGTTTTTGTTGTCTGCATATCGCTGTCTGTAGAACACAGTGTGGGTGACATTCAAAAGACCATTTGCTTCTTTTGGTGTACTAAAATAAGGGAGTGGGGAATTCAACTGTTTCTGTAGCCCAAACAGGCTTTAAATGATTCCCGAAGTGTGGCGAAGAAACAGCGCCTAGAGCAGTAGCGCAGCCAGGATGTGCCAAACCAAGCTTGTGTCCTCGAGTCTCCTCCCGCAAAATATGAAATGCCCCCCCTCCCATCGAAAGAAATTTCTACCTACGCCCCTGCGCTAAAGATAGAGTTGTGTTTTCGTCACAAGCAAAACTGTGGCACATAATGCGAAAGTTTCACAGTCCATTGCGTCTTGCGTTACACATTGCAGCTGTGTTAATTACATGTCCAGCTGGCGATTAGAGAGCGCTCTGGCTGTGCTTGAAAGCGGCGAACTAAAGAGCTTTAAACTTGTACAGTGAGAGCAAAAAGGTATGTTAGTTATGCCGCTCCTTACTTGTCATGTAAGAGCCAGCTTGTTTTAACAAGAATGTGTCGTTGCTTTTTACATAGCCTTTCCAGAGCCTTCACAGAGCACTAATAGAGCCACTTGAAGGTATAGTATTAGTGTACTTTGTGCTGGCGTGGCCGTTCGCTACACTAAACTTTAGATAGAGAAGTCATTAATGGGGGTGAGTGGAGGAAAAGGGCTTGCGATACTCATAAACACGTCGGCAAAAATCTCCTATTTTAATGAAAGAGTTCTCTCTCTCTCTCTCCCCCTTAAGTAGATGTATTCGCACCACAATGTCATTTTCGTAAGTTTTGTGCGGAGTGATAATCTCGCATTCACGTTTCTGGGACATGAATATAAAGAAATCTGTTTTTAGGCTGTCAATTCGTTTTCCACTATCTCCTATGTCTTGCTGCCGTCGTTTCTTTTCTCACTTTCTTTTGACGAGCAATGAACCTTGACGCGGAGTATACTCACGTAGTATAGTCACGGAAATAAAAATTACAAATAAAACTAAAATCTTGGGCCATCTAACTGATGGCATGCGAAGCGGCAGCGTTACGCACGGGTGGCGTCAGGGGGTAAACGGAGATTAAGTGGGTGCTGCAGTGCGCTCTGGAAGATTCGTTTGAAGGGATGGCTAGCGTAGGTCTTGTAGGTACCACGTACAGACATGTTTCAATGCGTCCGACGGGCGCGCGTCAGATTTATTGCCGCGAACCGACGAGTCGGCTGTGCGGGCGGCAGTCGCAGGAGACATTGCGGGCGCCGCGGTGAGCGCACGGCAGGCGAGAAAGAAAGTGACGTCAGCATGCACTGCAAGAAGAGCGGGATGTCAAGGCGCAGCAGTGATGTCTCCTACTCGGCACCACACCAACACCTGCGGCGTGCGGCGCGTTCGTACGGAAGGACAATGTTATACAGACTAGTCAAAGAGCGGCTTCTCACCTAAAAAATGTCTTTGACGAATAGCAGTGACTGACTTAGGGAAATGTTCGAACCATGGACATGAGTCTAATGTAATCAAATAGCGTTGAGCGAGTCCTCATGCCTAAATCGCACACTTGTATTCACCACGGTTCTACATTAAAGAAGATTATGTCCTGACGTTCAGCTATACAGTAGTCTATTATGTCCCTCATATCACATATACATTCTCACAGCACAAAATAAGCAGAAGACAGCAGTGACCTCCTGTTCTTTCTTTAAAGACGTATCCTGCTTGTTAGCACGCTAAATATGACTGGAGTCGCTAAAAGCCAGTATCGCAACGCCGCAGTACCAGTGTTGCTGGAACAGACGAACTTCTCCACTCGACCGCGGTAATGTTTCAGGCTGACAAACCAAACGTAGATGAACCCTGCTAATATACTTTGACACTTTGCGTGCTTTAAACGACAACTACTGTAATTGTTCGATTGTTAAACGAAACTTTCTGAATCCACAAAGACTTCGCATGATGTCAATTTACGACTGTCTCCCGCACTGTACTCGTTATCACATCTACCAACCATGTGGCCAATCATTATAACTGTAGAAGACCACACGCAAATAAAATCTGTTTTAAAAATTTTTACTCACTTCGGAAAGAAACCAGTTCGAAACTTCAGACGGTCAGTGCGATAAAAAACAGAAAAGTGATGAAAAACGTTAGGCAGTCCCATTAAACATTTATTATATTACAACCAATGTTCCCGCATCAGATTTGTGCACGAGGTTGTCTGTATGCGTGCGGCATCGGTAATTTCAGAATCAATATTCAGCCTATATTTTAGCTGCGCTTATCCCTTAAATACGCGGACATTTAGGCAAGTGAGCATTTTCAGCGTAGTTGTTACAACTTCCGCTTCGATTTGAGCCACTTTCGTCTTGCCTAAACGAAAAGCGGCTCAAAAGCTTGTAAAGGTCCTTATCCCTGCAGACAAGTTGACTTACTGGAGATACTAAAATGTCCCAGAAAGGCAGTATGAATGTTTTCTCCTATTTACAAAAAAGGGTGTTATTGAAAAACAGCATGCATGTATTATACTGCTTACACGACAAGCTGTGCTCGATGGCTAACATTCGAGGGCGCAAGGTGAAATGCGGCGGCATCTTCATCTTCTTTCTGGCATTCGACACCTTTTTAAAAAGCTGTAGATTCTGAATGCTTTTTTTTAAAATACATTATCATCACAAAAAAAATTTGACTTCTCTAGCCATCACGTCATGAGTATGAGTAGTAACTCACAAGAAGACAGTGGGGACTGCTCCAACTTTTAAAGCACAATCTAAAATGGTTCCTCACCTACATGGTTTTCGACAAAAGCCTCCAGCACAGGTTCCACAACAGGGCTTACTGTGAAAAAGAGCTCCTTAGGGATGATGTAGGCGGCCTTCTTTGAAAAACCTAATTGAGTGATGTGAATTTCGAGTGGTTTGACCAGAGCTGCGTACTCGTCAAGGGTACTCGCCTAACATAAGCGTGCGCAAGGTTTAAAGGGAAGGGGGTGCCAAAGTTATTTGAAGCGTCCCCCCCCTATCAAGTCAATGTATGGAGCACACCTGGCACCCCGCTCTTTCAGGTGCCCCCTCTGCGCACGGGAGCCTAATCTTGTGAGGCATGATACGGACAGTCTAGGCACCTCGCTACCTTTCCCAGTTTTCTGCTAAAGTACCCACAGAGGTAGTCCACGACCATGCCCTAAACACTGCAGATGGACAGGCTTTAGGTATGATCTGCGCAGCAAAATAAATATTACACTGAAGCTTTTTGTGCAGCTTGTACACAATGGTAGCCTTTAGCTGAGGTGCTGCCTTTACTTTCGAGCATTGGTGGTATCGAAATCAAAATAGAACCAAATAGAATTACCAAGTGCAGTCGCCCTTCATAGTGCTCAACAGATTCAGTGGCAGTAAAGTGACAGAAGTCTGTATATCTGGCTGAACTGGAGGATGCTAGGGTGAGTATACGTAGATTAGTACACGTAAACCGGTATTGAGTGAATCAGCGTCTTCTGCGCGCGAAGGACTCGTTTGCACGGCCAATAACGTAGTACAGCAATGGCCACGTGGCGCTGCAACTTTTTTTACCATTGCGTTGTGCTGTAGAAGTATTTGTAGAGCGAATGAATAAAGGGATGCACACTATCTCACTTGCAGAAATGTTTGGAGGAATTGGTCTAAGCCAGAAGCAACCAAACCTCTGCTTATTATTTATTTTTACAGGTTAGGAGCATCTAAAGATAACGGCAGATGGGGCGAATGTCCCAAAAACGAAGAAGAGGAATACTTGACATCCAACTTCAAAGGCGGCCGCATACCTTACTTGTCTGAATGCAGCAGAGAGTCGGTTCGAACCTTTTATTATCGTGTCAAGTAAGTGGGCCAAGTCATAACCTCTGCGAGAGGCAATGGCCAACGGAGTGATATAGCGCATTTTCAGATTGCTCATTTCTTTATAGTAGGTATATTTACGCAGGCCTCATGAAAGTGCAAGCAAACCTGTGGCTTTGAGGAGCAATAAAACAGAAGTACTTTAAGAATGACGTCATAAGAATGCAACAGTGATGCCGTAGAAACGTCTCAGATGTTTCTTGATGCACAAAGCGACAGTGTTGCCGCACATGCGTCGCACGAAAAGATACAGTGCAGAGCCGTAAAATGGAATGTGAAAAAGTTCCTGAGAGTAATTAGATCGTGCGAGCCACTGTCTAGTGGGGGGAGAACTGCGCAAGGTCTTCTCTCATGCGCGAACTGATGAAATCGCCGCACTACGGCGATTTCTGCGCACTCTAAATATACGATAAACAGTATGAATTTACGTCAATATATATTTTGTTTAAATGCACGGGGATCAATCACTTTTTATTTATATTTGAGTCTTGTTGCGTGACCAACCTGTGTAAGCGCGATGAAGATGTCAACTCTAGAAGGTAGGACAATTTGGCTTGACGCGTCTCAAACCTATATGTTAAGGAGAGACAATAGAAAACAATACCTGTATAAAACAGCATAAAATGACTTTTGAGGACCCTCATAGGAATATTTTGGACCGTTCTTTAGATATTGTTGGTTACATTTTGCAATATTATATCGTGAAGTCAACTTTCATTTTTACCTTTGTCATTAACAAAGCCTTGGCATAACAGAAAACCCACATTGAATGTATACTTGTAAAAAGTGGTAATTATGCAGAAAATGAAAACAGATCTAAAGCAGAGAAAGTTTTTGTGGCAGCATGTTACATAAGACCTATTGCACTGAACAGACGGGCAAAACTTATGTATGCGAACAGAGGATGGCGAAAAATCACCTGTGCCAAAAATCTAATATTGACTTTAAATAACTCGTTGAGTAATGCAGTAAGAAGAGCAAAGACAAAAAAAGCCTCAATTTTTCTGTTAGATGAATGCTCTTTCTATTTGACCTAGAACCGGCGCCGGTTGAGAAATAGTTGCTAGGGTCTCGTTTGCACATATATAAATCCTATCACAT